TCCTAGAGTCGTGAGGAAATAAAAAAACTGGCACAGGTAAAGCACATAGAACAATACTTGGCACTTTAATACATGTTGAGTGTTTGATATATCTAAATATGTACCTCAGTTCTTTTCTGAGTCTTGCAAGTGCTGGCTGCATTATATGACCTAGGAAATCTAAGAAGGATTATTGATATCTCTCTCTCTCTCTCTCTCTCTCTCTCTCTCTCTCTCTCTCTCTTTCTCTCTCTCTTTTTCTTAGAGCGAACTCTTCCTGAACAGCCAAACATGCAGGATTATACAACGGGAGCTCTTATTTGACCTGGGTGTGGCCTACGGCATTGACTGTCTACTCATTGACCCCACCCTGGGGGGCCGCTGTGACACCTTTACTACCTTCGATATCTCGGTCAGTCCTACAAACACTACTCTTATTGTGATAAGAGAACCTTGAGCCAAAGAACAGTCTCATGACCCTGCATGGGCTCAGCTGTCAAACTACCGAGGGCTGTTCTCTTCAGATTCGCAATGAACAAGCATCTACCTACACCTGCACAGGCCTTGCACATTTTCATTTATCCACCCGCCCATCTGTCTGTTCATTCCCTGGCCATCAGGGAAACAGTTGTTGGGACCAACCATGTGCCCTGCCAGTCATTTTCAAACCCACCCATCCATTCAGTCATTCCCTCATTCATTCAACAAGCATGTTTGAGCTTCTGCTATTTTAAACCATATGAAATTGCCATACTTGACAGGCTGTGACTACAAACATGGCAATTTCACATGGTTCAATCTAATATTTTATGCTACCCACACCTCCATTCATCTGTTCACTTATTAAGAACATGGGTTAAGCTTCCATCCTAGGCCCTTCACTGTATGAGGCATTTTCCTACTTCCCATTTAACCATCTACCCAGTACCATTCACTGAGTTTGGTTCGATACGCATCTTATCCCTACAATAATCCAATAATAGAAGTAGTTATCATCAATTCTATTATATAGACTTGGAAACTGAGTCTTAAAGAGGTGAAGTGACTTACATGGAAAAGTCTGTCACCATTTGATTTGGGGATCTGGCAACCTGTAGGCATTTGATAAATATCCCAAATTATTAGAATACCCATCAGCCAAAGTAGGAGATGAAAACCCAGTTATCCTTTCTGCTACAGAGATGGTGGCCTTCTTAACTTCCCAAGTATATTCACACACATTTTTTTAGTTAATCATTTTTCCTCGCCAACCCCCTGAAATACAAGAATTATTATGCCTACCTTATAGATCAGAAAACTAAGCACCAAAGAAGGTGACTGGCCGAAATATCCCAGCTGATTTGTAATGTTATTGACACCTGCATCCACGTTTCCCACTGGTATACCATATGCCTGCATGATGCTACACTGGTCCACCTCTGTGGAACAGGGAACTGTTCTTCACTGAGAACTCAACCAAGGAGTTGAGGTCCAAGACAGACCTTTCAAAATCTCCATGGCAAAGCTGAACTATGTTTGGCTGATAAAAATACTAGATCATATCAGAATTGGTATCAAGATTCAGTTCTGTAGTCGATCTCTTCAGACATTTCACTAGGGAATTTCCTTGGACCTAACTAAAAATCCATGATATTAAGAGTTGACTTACGATGGACTATCAAGGGGATGCGAGAACATATCGAAACTTTATCGCTAAAGTGTTGAGATTCTTGTTTTTTATTTTTTTTATTTTTTTTTGTTTTT